ACGACGGCAGCGGCGCTGACAGCACGTATGACTGCTGTTGCTTCAGCATGTCGCTGTGATTTAGAGCTTAAAGGCCCAGTGTGTAAAAACATTCAACTCTTTAGCGCCACGCAGTTCAGAGTAAGTATTGCAGCTCCAGTAGCCCACACTAGGGTTGGACTGTTTTTCCATTCGCCCACCATTAGTCTAATAAATGATGATGGTTTTATGTCCCTCGGCTTCGCTAGGAGCACGATGTGGTTAAGGGAGTAAAGAAGATTTTGTACTGGAATGAAACAAACACTTTTATAGTTCTCTATAGGATATTTATTAAACAAAAACGAAGCTCTTGGCTGAAAAGGGAACAAAAGGGTCCTCGAAGACTGGGTATCAATAAACAAAAGGAATTTCCCAATAAAGAAAAACGATATCTAATAATAAACTAAAAGCGCAGCACATAGGCTGGAATAAGGCTAAACGGTAAACACAAAACTGCACCAAAAGGACGAGCAAAGTCTCTCTGTAACGAGGACACACAAACTACTATTAACAATACCAAAACTCAAAATACCACTCAGGTTGCAAAACAAACGAAAATACCACTCAGGTAGCGAATCGAAGACTTTAACGTCTATAATGCGAGGAGAGCTAGAGAGGAGAGCAAACACCTCCGTGCCAACACCCATCTGCACATCTCTCCCAGAATGACAGGAAGCTCTCCCTTTTAACAGGGAGGCATGATTGAGCTAACAGCCTGCAGCTGTGCAGGCAGCGGACCGAGGGCCTCGTGTGGCCAAAAGGAGACTGTGCACGTCACACTCCCCCTCTCAAAACAACAACTAAAAGGTAAATAAAAATGACCATAGTTGTTGTAACCGAACGAACTAAAGAGAACTCCCACTATCTACACACAAAAAAAACTAACTAACTAACCCCTAGATCTCAAAAGGTGGGCAGATTAAACACAAAGTATCTCACGGCGCTGATCCCCAGCGCCGCGGAGTGTTCCCGAGATGTCTGAATGAACAGACAACACTAGCCTTATCAGAGATCTTACAATCTAGAACCTACAAGGGAGCCTCAATTGAAAAACTGCGGGAAAGGGCGTCAGCCATGAGGTTTTCTGTCCCTTTCTTGTGGCGGATGTCCAAGTTGAATTCTTGGAGGAGGAGGGCCCATCTCATCAAGCGCTGATTGTGGTTATGCATTCGGTGGAGGAAGACCAGCGGATTATGATCTGTAAAGACAATGGTGGTGAATGTACTGTTGCCAACATAAACAGAAAAATGTTGCAGGGACCATATGAGGGCTAGGGTCTCCTTCTCTATTGTGGAATAATGACTTTGTGCAAGGTTAAACTTCCTTGAGAAGTAGCAGATGGGGTGATCAAGTCCACCAGCATCTTCCTGGAGAAGCACAGCTCCGGCTCCGGCATCAGAGGCATCGACCTCAAGCTTGAAAGGTCGAGAAAGGTCAGGAGCTGTAAGAACTGGAGCACAACAGAGTAGGTCACGCAGAGCAAGGAAACCAGGTTACATTCAGGGGTCCAAGAATATGGGATGTTGGAGCTTAACAAAAGTAGAACCCAAGTAAAGTAAAGTAAAGTAGTGGGACTACTTGCGGACTCAGCATCACCACGAGCTAGGGCAAGGAAGGGCTTCAGAGTTTCATCTGAGTTTTGAGCTTGTACTAGAGCATCACAGGTTATGGGGAAATTCTCATGAGTAACCTGAGGCAACACACGAACTGCAGAATCTGGGTGTTTACCAGAATCTGAGAAAAGCTTGCTCAGAACGTAATCTTGGAGGGTTATATCTGGATCCCTCTTTGCTTGAGCTCGAGTTAAAACACACGCAGGCAAACTGTCGGTACTCTCTTGCACCTCTGGTTCTGTGATGAGCTCAGGAACAGGCACAACCAAACCTCCTGCGGCATCATTTCCCAGGATAAGATCCACCCCTTTCGTTGGCAGATCGTCCACTACAGCCACAGCTAAAATACCAGAAACTAAAGGACAAGACAGATTAATCTGATGCACTTCAGCAGCAACTGTTCTCATTTCAATGCCTTGTAAAATCACAGAGTAGCTAGCTTGGCTCATTTCAGAAAAAGGCAAAACGTTCTTTTTAATTAGCGTTTGTGAAGCTCCGGTGTCTCTTAATATCACCACTTTTTTATCTGTTGCAGAACCCGGAAGTGATACACGCCCCTCTGACAAAAATGGTTTGTAGCACGAGTTGGGCTTGGTTACATTTATCCCAGCACAGGGTTTTAATGAACAAAGAGCCACTTCTGGTCGGGTTTTTCTGGGCGAGTCGCCGTTTCGTCTGTTTTTCTGCTTTAGAGCATAACAGTCCCTGATGACATGGCCACGCTTGTGGCAGTAAAAACACTCAGAACTCTCAGTAGCAGGGCGAAGTTTAGGAGGAGATTTGACTCTGGACGAGTTTCTTTGACTCGATGGGTGAGAGAAAACTGGTCAGCGAGTAAGGCGGCTTCGGAGAAGGAAGCAACCTTCTGTTCATTTAAGTAGTGCACTAGTCTTTCGGGGACATGTCTCTTAAATTCCTCTAATAGGATTAGCTCTTTGAGCTCAGCTAGCGAAGTGACATGAGAAGCAACACACAATTTCTCGAACAAAACAGACTTGTTATGAGCGTACTCGACATAAGACTGATTGTCTCGCGGTGTTTCGGAGCGGAACCGTTGCCTATAGGCTTCCGGTACGAGTTTGTATGCGTGCAAAACAGTAGACTTAACCGTATCATAATTAGCACTGTCTGTTAGAGACAAAGCAGACACCACCTGAAGAGCCTTACCTGTCAACTTACAGGTCAAAAGCAAAGGCCAGACATCGCGAGGCCACCGGAGTATCGCAGCCATCCTCTCGAAAGCAAGGAAGTACCCATCCACTTCAGTCTCTTGGAAGGGAGGCAGGAGCGTGAGGCATTTGCTGATGTCGAATGGTGGCGTAGAAGACGTAGGAGTAAGCGGAGTCTCAGATGGCGGTCGGACATCCCCAAGGGGAGGCGAAATGGCGGCGTCTGAGTCCTCGGCTGGCTGAACAGTCCGAACAGTGGCAGGATCACGTTTCCTGCTCTGTAGAGTGAGCTCAAGTTCTCTCAGTCGAATATCAGCGTCCAGTCTTTTAAGTTCAATCTCATGTCGAAGCTTTCTTTCCAGAGCGCGTTCCTCTGCCTCAATGTGCAAACGAGCCAGTCGGAGTTTCAGGCGAGCTCCGGTTAACGGAGACGACGAAGGGCTCTGCGGAGGTGAAGCAGACTCCGAGGAGCAGGCTAGTTCAGGCTTCTCCATCCTCTCTTCTTCGTTAGTCACCGGGGGTGACGGAGGGCATGACACAGGCGGAAGAATCTCTTGTGCAACCAGGAAATCCAAGACGAACTGACGTAGGGCGTCTTTCGTTAGCTGCTTGGGGACGAGCAGACTGAAGTGGGCGGCAACCTGCTGCAGATCGGATTTTCTGCAATTCTCCAGCAGCCGGCGCGATGGAGCCTCCACAAATGCCTGTACGTCAAAGGTAGACATGATTCCTGCTTCGCCTCTAAGAGAAAAAAATAAAAGGTTAGTTTCAAGCACAGTACAAGTGAAAATTACGGGTACAAATGTTATAAATAACAAAAAATCCCGGACGAGCCCCCACTCTTTTACGTCCCTCGGCTTCGCTAGGAGCACGATGTGGTTAAGGGAGTAAAGAAGATTTTGTACTGGAATGAAACAAATACTTTTATAGTTCTCTATAGGATATTTATTAAACAAAAACGAAGCTCTTGGCTGAAAAGGAAACAAAAGGGTCCTCCAAGACTGGGTATCAATAAACAAAAGGAATTTCCCAATAAAGAAAAACGATATCTAATAATAAACTAAAAGCGCAGCACATAGGCTGGAATAAGGCTAAACGGTAAACACAAAACTGCACCAAAAGGGCGAGCAAAGTCTCTCTGTAACGAGGACACACAAACTACTATTAACAATACCAAAACTCAAAATACCACTCAGGTAGCGAATCGAAGACTTCAACGTCTATAATGCGAGGAGAGCAAACACCTCCGTGCCAACACCCATCTGCACATCTCTCCCAGAATGATAGGAAGCTCTCCCTTTTAACAGGGAGGCATAATTGAGCTAACAGCCTGCAGCTGTGCAGGCAGCGGACCGAGGGCCTCGTGTGGCCAAAAGGAGACGGTGCACGTCACAGATGGGTTGTGGTTTGTGCATGTGACTGATTAAGGTATGATTCACTGACTGATTTGTGAACACAGAAGAAGTCTAAACATGGATTATTTTATGGATGGGCGCCACAAATTAGAATTTTCTTTTTGTTTAACTCATTCACTGCCAGCCGTTTCCTGATCAGAAAAGCTCTTCGCTGCCAGCCTTTTTCAGCGTTTTTACTGTTTTTTTAAGAGTCACTGAACATTGCTCTATGATGATGTCAACGCCAAAACTACCAACACAAAGCGGAGACTCGCCTCTTACATCAGGAAGAATCCAAGCGTTATTCGTTCTTTCATATCCATTGTGGAATTGTGATCCGTAGAAGCTTTTCCAGTTCTCGCCTCACTTTTTTTACAGCAGCGACCCAAGACGATCTCCTAACACATAGATTTTCTGCTTCCTGATCACGTGACGTGTACTTGTACTTCTCTTAATGTGGCACACCTGTGAGGTGGGATGGATTATCTCAGCAAAGCAGAAGTGCTCACTATCACACATTTAGACTGATTTGTGAACAATGTTTGAGAGAAATGGTAATATTGTGTATCTGGAATGAATTTTAGATCTTTAAGTCTATTTCATGAAAAATCGGAGCAGAAACAAAGGTGTTGCGTTTATATTTTTGTTGACTGTATATATATATATATATATATATATATATATATATATATATATATATATATATATATATATATAGTGATGGAAGTTTTTATTGTTCCTAAAGTAGAAATCTGTTTTTATCTAAATGAAGTTCATGTTCTTGTTCCTTTTTCCCAAATCATGTAGCCAGTATCACTCATGGTGTAAATATAAAGGTATGGTGGTCTGTAACATCATGTGTCTGTGTTTCCTACAGATGTTCCACAGCTGGTGCTGGTTAAAGAAGAAGCTCCTGAAGAACAGAGTGCTGGTGTGGACCAGCAGGACCCAGAACACCTCCATATAAAGGAGGAACAGGAGGAGCTCTGGACCAATCTGGAGGGAGAGCATCTCTGTCTGAAGGAGGAGACTGAAGCTGTCGGGTTTCCTGTTACTGCTGTTTCTATAAAGAGTGAGGATGATGAAGAGAAACCTCTGGTCTCACAGCTTCATCAGCAGCAAATAGAAGACAGAGATGTTCCAACCAGCAGCTCAGCTGACCAGATGGCAGCAGAAACTGGTGGAGGAGCAGGAACTAGCAGGAACCCAGATCTGAACCCTCATGAACAAACATCTGATTCTTCAGAGACTGAAGTTAGTGGAGATGATGATGATGATGATGATGATGAAGAAGATGATGATGATGGTGTGAATCTGGACTCTGAGCTGTCAGACTCTGGGTCTGAAACTGGAGATGAAGATGATGACTGGAATGAGAGCAGGTCTTCTGAGTCAGATGGTAAGTCTGTCAACAAGTTCTTCACAAGTGGTCTCTCCAGAGACACGTGAGGGAGACAAGTCATCCAGCAATAAGGTCTTCAGGCTGTTTGGTTCATAAGAAATGTGTCAGAGTGAAGCAACATGTAGACTCGTGCAGGAAAGTCCAGAAGAAACCTAAATCATTTAGTCATGATGAGTGTGGAGAAAGGTTTACTACAAATGTAAATAAACAAATCACATGAGAGTCCACACATAGCAGCTGCTGTTCCAGAGTATGGGCCAGCCTCATCCCACCCATACTCTGCTTCTGGCCGCTAACAAGGGTGTGTGTGTGTGTGTGTGTGTGTGTGTGTGTGTGTGTGTGTGTGTAATTGTAATTGTAATTGTAGCGTCAGGAAGGTCCTCTTATTTGTGACAAAGGTCACATTTTCCCAGCTGGGTCAGACTGTCATCATAATTTATCTCTTGGTTCAGTATAAATGTATTTTTAATTACTGAAATGAATTATTATGCTTTGGGTATAATTATGATTATGGTTGATGATCAGTAATGTGTGTTCAGCAAATCAGAAGTTCAACTTCCTCTTTATCCATCTAACACAGAGCTTATCCAGAGTAAAGGGTAATCTGCCATCACATGTCTTCCTCTCATAACCAAAGCTTTCTTGCTCTGAGAGAGGGCGTGTTCTGAAGAGTTTGTTAAATCTGACTTTCCAGATGCAAAACACCAGTTCGTGAACCAACCACCATCACTGAGGATACGGGAACAGCTGTCCCTAACCTCCACCTGCTGTTCTGTCACGCCGATAAGAATAGCTACGAATAAACGTAACTGCAACCAGCTGACGCAAAAACTCCTCCAGAGTTATTGTGTCACACCCTGTCCTGTCTTCTCTTAGTCTGTGTCTCCGTTAATTGCTCCCACCTGCCTCTTGTTTCCCAATCACCATAGCTCCCGCTCCTCGTGTATTTAAACCCCTTCTGTTCTGTGTTCCATGTCGTGTCATTGTTTCAGTGTCCAGCGTGTGTATTTAATAAACTCATGTTAGACGGACTTACCTGTTCGCCTTCTTCCTCCCCGCGTTTGGATCCTACCTCCGCTCCACTCACCAGGCACGCTCGTGACAGAATGACACGACCCGTTAAAGGATCCAGCGGGGAGATTCTTCCGTGGGAGTACCTGCTCCGGTGGCTTACCCCGACCCACCAGCCGGCTTCTCCCTCTCCAGCCCCAGCTCCGCCTCGCCGCCGCCGGCAGCCTGCAGAGACCTTGTCACCGGCCCAGCCTGCAGAGACCTTGTCACCGGCCCAGCCTGCAGCGCTCCTCTATCGTAGACGCCGGGCCTCCAAGAGCCCGTTGTCGCCTCGTCCTCTGCCGCAGACGCAGGCCTCCAAGGGCCCGTCGCCTCCTCATCTGCCGCAGGCGCCGGCCTCCAAGGGCCCGTCGCCTCCTCTTCTGCCGCAGGCGCCGGCCTCCAAGGGCCCGTCGCCTCCTCTTCTGCCGCAGGCGCCGGCCTCCAAGGGCCCGTCGCCTCCTCTTCTGCCGCAGGCGCCGTTCTCCAAGGGCCCGTCGCCTCCTCATCTGCCGCACGCGCAGGCCCCCGGACTCTGCTGATCCCTGCCACCTCTCCTTCGGTCCCTCGGTTCCTCTGGGCCCTCCCTCCGGGTCCCCCTCCTCCCGCCCTGCTCCTTATTCCTGTGGGCGTCTGGGATCCGCCCTTTGAGCGGGGGTTACTGTCACACCCTGTCCTGTCTTCTCTTAGGTTTTAGTCTGTGTCTCCGGTAATTGATCCCACCTGCCTCTTGTTTCCCAATCACCATAGCTCCCGCTCCTCGTGTATTTAAACCCCTTCTGTTCTGTGTTCCATGTCGTGTCATTGTTTCAGTGTCCAGCGTGTGTATTTAATAAACTCATGTTAAACGGACTTACCTGTTCGCCTTTTTCCTCCCCGCGTTTGGATCCTACCTCCGCTCCACTCACCAGGCACGCTCGTGACATATTGATTTTGAGAGTTAAGATGAGAAACTCCTTTAGTTTAGCCAGACGCTCGACACTGTGTCCCCGGCGACATCTTCAGACCAGAGAGTCGGTTCCTCGAGTCTCCTCTACCGGACCGAGTACCTGGAGGCTGACACCTCCTCCCTTGACCTCCCGATCCTCACGAAGGGTCGTCTTGCTGGGTGAGGTAGCACACAGATTGTGTCTGATGCTGTTTTCTCTAAGTAACAACAGTTAGCTGCAAAACCATCATTTCAACCCAGAACGCGCTTCTCTCTCTGAAAGAAACCTGAGAATTCATCCACGCATCCAAACTCGTATTTTCAATTTAGCTTTCATTCAGTCACAGGTTTGCCTTTTAAACAAGTTTAACATCAAAGCTGGTAATTTGTCATTCATGAATTGTCATTTAAATTGTCGTTTCAAATCATCAAGTTTAAAACTGTTAGTAATAAATTCTTCATTTTTAAACGATGCCTCATTCTTTGAAATGAAACACAGAAAGGTATAAATATTTCTGGTTATTGAAAAGCAAAGATTCCTAACTTCTGCTTCAAAAATAAACTTTTGCTATTAAATTTAATTATCTTAAATTAAATGTTAATCTTTGGATTAAAAATAGACCAAACAGGTTGGTGTATGAACTTCTATCTATATATATAATATCCTAGATATTTATATATAACAGAAGCTTCATTGTTAACTCGTTTGGAACTTTTCTCAGAATCTACAACTGATAGCAAACAGTGTGATTCTAGTATGTAGTAATACCCTACATCAGGGATTCCCAAAGTGTGGTGCGCGCGAGCTGCCGCTAGGGGGTGCGCGAGGTGAAAAGTGTAATGGCTGCCAAGCTCAGAGAAGTCTGTCATATGTCACCATTTGCGTAGCCAGAAACTCATTTGTGGGTGGGCCTAAGAAAAAGTAAGTGGGCCCAATAAATGCAATTGAAAACAAGTATATTTTTGCGCGTGTGTGTGTGTCCTCCACATGTTCCCTAGCTTCATAATAACAATGCGCCGAGCTTCAGCACTCTGGCCTGCGCACGCCGATATGTTCCGTATTTGATCATTTTTAACGGTGTTGGAGAAATCTGAAGGTGGCGAGTCATTCTGGCAGATTGTAATTAACACCTGTCTCATGCAGGTGTTCTGACATTGTAAACCTCACACACAGAACATTGTGGATGTAACAAAATAAATCAAGAAATTATTCCCATTCAGGCTATTAACAGCGCACTGAAGATCTGCAGTTCAGAGTGCGTCTGTCAGTCAGACGCGTTCCAGCGGAACCACGGCTCACGGGTGCACATGTGAGCACATCTGGGCTGGGCAGAAGTAATTTTACAACATTGGTTTAAATAGCGCCAAATAACGAGACGCGGTAACTGGAGCGGCTCATGGAGCTGTGCTGCGCGCGCGCACACACACACACACAAACTCCGGCGCTGTGCCGTCAGACTGAATGCAGAGATGAGCGCTGCCTCCTCTGTGATAAAAACTTTTAAGAGGTTTTATAACAACATTTTTCATTCCAGGTCAAATTAAGATATTAGCTTCTATTTTGGGATGACGTATTATCGGGTCCGCTCCAGCCAGTGACTCCGAACCTGCAGCATTTGTTATTCCAGTCCGCGTGGCAGCGGATCGCAGATTCAGCCACACCATAAAACAGCAATAAGTCGGTTTGAGGCAAAAGTGAACCTCGTGGATAGCTTTCCATATTTTCCCCTATAGACATTTGATTACGCACAAGTAGGTGATCAGTTCAGGTTTACGCAGAGCAGAAGGAAGGAGAGCGCTCTGGCCGCACAGGTTAAACGTTCCTACTTTAAGAAAACCGTTAAATTGCATTTTCTTAATGTGCTACCTGGGCACTCTAAATGTTTATTTTAAATTAAATCAAAGGAAATTGTAATGGTATTGAATGTTTATTAATTACTTTTTAAAAAATGAAAGTGATGGGGGAAAAGGTCGATCATATTTTTTTAACCCTGTCTGTTCATATATATATATATATATATATATATATATATATATATATATATATATATATATATATATATATATATATATAGCCACGCCCTGATGTGGGGGCTGGAGGGTGCGTCGACATGCTCGGGACATAGAAGGGGGTGCGCGGCTAAATAAGTTTGGGAACCACTGCCCTACATAATAGATTCAGTTAATAATAAACATAACATTTCAATAACATAATCCCTCCTGTTTATCCAAATAGGATAACCAAACAAAAAGTAAAATAATAAAACACGATAAGGCTAACGCAACTGACAGTAACAAACAGCAACTTACAGAGTGTCATGAACTCCTCCTCCTCCTCCTGACCTCCTCTGCGGGCCGGGCTGACGGGGAACTCCATTTCCCAGCATTCCCGTCACTGACACTCTCGGTGACATCACCCCGTGGAAGCTATATAAGGAACTGTCACCGCTGAGCTGTCATTCAGTCATCATCTCATGACAGATGCCAAACCGAACCGATCCAAATCAACCTAAAACCAATCCAGGAAAGTGATCTTTCCACGCTGTTGTTGAGGGTCTGACCTCATGAGGAAATTACTATGCAGTGATTTTCTCCAAAATGACCGTGCTTAAATTGCTCTGAAAAGCAAATAATCACATCAGCGCCAAGAAACTTCATTTCCCATGATGCTTTGCACACGGAAGCATTGGGATGTTGTCACCGCCTAATACCAGAAACACGTTCTGCGCATGTGCGGGAGGCCGTGGAGCTTTTCCCGCGAACTAAGACCATAAATCTTCAGCAGAGACAAAGAAACCTTGTTCTTTTGCCCAGGATACCTGGCGGTAAGGACACGCTTGTCGAACGCTCCGACTCCCTTGAGCACGCGGAAGCTCTAAGTGCCCAAGTTGAGCAACGGGACCGCTGGAAGGCTAAGCTGCAAGCCCATCAGGTCTGTCTAACCGCTCGCTGCCTAGCTGCTGAAGGGAAGACCACAGAACCGGGTTGGGGAAATCCGCAACTCCGTCAAACTCACGGA